TAATTTTCTGCTCCTTCAAAAAGGTTTTAGCGGATCCGGCTGAGTCATGGGCATTGAAACATTAAATTTAAGACTGTGCTGAAGAAACGATAGCGCTTATCCACAAGTTCTTTTAAATCATCATAACTTGAACACCGATTTGAAATTCAAATTTCACCGCGCTGGAAACAATCGGAAAAAAACTAAAAGCTGATTTTTAATAATATATACATGATATACACCACAGCACAAACATTAGGAAATAATTTAAATCAGTACAAATTATATAATAAGTAATGTATGTATGTATGTAATGTAACTTAAGTAATGAATGTCTCATTATAATTTATTTTATAATTAAGTTAAAATTTTACGACTCGCGTGACGTTAAATCGTTATATATTTAATTCTCAAAAAAGTACACTGAACGAACATATCGATTCTTGGAAAAAACCTAAACAAAAACATGACGTAACAATTCACTTCCTGATAAGTTTAACACGAAAATGTTTAACGATAAAATACATAACAACCAGCTATAGTTGTTCGGATATCGTAATTGTACTGTGAAGTGTCTAAATATTTAAAATCTTATCCGATAGTGACGGGGCAGCGAAAATCCGCCGTCATCCGAAACATGTCTTGTGAGATCCCCCGGATCCACTCTCGGTGCTTTTAGGCCTCTCAAGCACCGGTCACCGTCCTCGTCAAACTCGTCGATTAAGACGAGCGAACTATCGACTCTGCTGCAGTAATAGGTAATCTGCATAAAATCCATGCATCTATTTGTGCTACAAAGTAATTTTCGTTTGAAGAGCGGGTTAGCCCTTAAACAAAAGAAACGCTACTTCGACCTTATCTATCAAAGTGGGTGGTGTCATTCACTTTATAATATTCTTTGGACCCTTGCATGGTTGCAAGGGAACTTAACGTCAGATTGACCGTGAGCTCGTTCAACTATCAATGGAATAATAAAAACAAAGTGTTCAAATGCAATTGAAACAATAAATACTTAAAATTTTAATATTATGAGATGTAGTGCCTACACCTAAATTTGCATATTTCGGCAAAATAAATGTTCTAAATGCCTTTCTTTAGTTGACAATAAGCGGAGTCTATTAAAGAATAGTTTTACTGTAGTGCTTATGAGATATCCACAGATGATGATGATCCACCTTATTCGGGCATAGTTTGTGTTTCATTGCTTTTTTTTTACGGTAATAATTCTACATGTTCCCGCGGAAATTCTCGCAAACGTCATTTTCTTGGAGCACAGACGCGACAAAAACAGTGTAAGATAAAATGTTTGTGATGATTTTTACCAAAAATATAACTAAGCACGTCATTATTAGGCCTATAACGAAATAACATGTTTTCGTTGCATTAGTGTATTATTATCAACCCAGAGACATGAGAGTTCTTATCGGAACTTACGTCAGGGCCGCGCCCACTTCTCTCAGGTCTAACTTCGATAACAGATTCCGTTTGGCGGTAGTGGAAATTACCAAGTTACTTTATAGATTAATATTTTTTAACTGCGTTACCAAGGGCTCGACGAGTAAATTAACCCATAGACACAGCCCACTGAGTTTCTCGCCGGATCGTTTCAGTGGGTCGCGTTTCCGATCCGGCGGTAGATTCTGCGGAGCACTGCTCTTGCTAGGGCCAGTGTTAACAACACTTCCGGTTTTAGCCCCGTGAGCTCACCTATACGTTAGGGTGAAGCTAAAATAGCCTCTCAAGGCTATCAGTATAGGTAAAAGAAAAAACTTATTCAAGATGGTCAAGGAATTCGATTTCATTCGTTTCCTAATTGTTCAAGCTGGCTAGAAAAAAGTATGAAACGAATTTTAATGTTTTAATGGAAAGTTATTTAATTTATTTATTTATAAATTTATTGAAATTAAGTTGTTTACTTAAAATGCATTAAACAGCTGAAATCTAATCAGAAACTATTTCTTCAAATAACAACCAAACCACACCAGTAGTAGGTAGGTAGGGGAGACCGGGGCAAGATGAGATAGCTAAGACAAAACTCGCTGTACAAAGACAATTATACTCTTTAATTAAATTCTTTAAGAAAACAAGTAACACTTATACATTTGTCTATTAAAATTAATAATTTTATCGTGTAAAATCACAGAACTTTTTTGACAAATAATGATTAACGATAATGAGGCGAATTTCCCGTCTTGCCCCATGGACGGGGTAAGACGGGAAATGCTACGGGGCAAAAGGAGTACGTATTTTAATCGGACAGACAGCGTTCACAAATGTGTGCCTCGTCGTCTTCTTCATCTACTCCGGCACAGGTATCGTGTGCCCAACCATGGCAAATACTGCAGATAGCCCAACCCTCGGTTGACTCTTAGTATAAGTAACCATAATAGACGCAGGCCCAGTCACCGTCCTCCTTTTCCGATTCGATTTATTTGGCGAGTCTTTTAGCTTGACGCTCGTTTTTAGTCCTTTTTATCTTCTTATTTCCAACTTTATGTATTCGTTTTTTATCTTTTTAAGTCTTCTGTCCATCAGTCTTCATCCGCTTCCGTTCATCCAAAAGTTCATCTCGCATCTGCTTCCGAGCGTATATTGTACATGGGTGGGACATACGTTCTATGGCTATGCTATGCATAGCTCTTGCGGCTGATGTCGGTTCTGGGCCAATCTTCTCCTGCCATGCCAGTTTCTTCATTAAGTGGGCTATCTATATGATTTTGCTGAGCCAACTGATAAGCTTATTACACGAAGTTATTTTCCTGTTAACCGTGCTTCCCATTGCCACGATCCGTCCCATTTGCCACGATCTGTTTTTCGGTTATAGTTCCGAACCATTGTATCTGAGAAAAAAACTTTATGAGAAAAGCAACGATATATCTTGCTAATGTAGAAGTTACAACAATATGTACTTATACTTTTTTTTATACCACTAAGTCAGCAAAGAAGCTTACAGTTCGCCTGATGGAAAGCGGTTACCGTTGCATATGGACGCTTGCAAAACCAGGTTGCAATACTATCGATAGGTAAGTAGGTACACAGAAGGTATTATTTAAACCACAAGGAAGGGGCAAAACGGGATAGTATCCCGTTATGCCCCGATCATTGTGCCCCGACTCACATGTAGTCAAATAAGTTGAAGCAATTCTAATATTAAATCTTACTGGCGCAAAAATCTAATCTGAATTTAAAGTGTTATAGTACTACAACACGCTGAGGATTAAAACATTATATTAATTCAAGTACTGACATGTCTGCACATCAGTTTCTTAACCAAAAACCGGATAAAACACTTGCAAAATCAGTTTTTTTCCTATACAACGCAAAAACGAGATCCAACACGTTCGCTCTGCTCGGACGCACTTGCGCTGTCTGAATTTCGTGCAAATGGCGCCGTTACCAGTACGAACACGATTACCATTCATGGACACAAGCTTATTTCCCGTCCTGCCCCGAACTTCATGTTGCCCCGGTCTCCCCTACCATAATTTCTCATTAAATAGTATCATACATGCCAGTTTATGTTGTAGGAGAGCTAAAAGAAAAATAGAAAACTATTTAGACATACTTTTATTATTTTGACATGTATCTATTTAAACAATGGAATCTCTAATGTAACTCTCACCAACAACAAGACATTTAGTTAATTTGAAAATTTACATATGTATCAACGACCGATAAGAACACAATAATTTAATTATCACAGAAATAACAGATCTTTTTTAAGTTCGACTTGTTATATATTATAATAGGGGTTAAAGTGTGAAATTGCCGTTTTATTGTAATAGGTACTTCGAATTGACCTAAAGCCTTCATGGTTTGAGATTTTTGAGTGAAACTTTTTTCAAATGGTACCTATGAGTTTCTTCTTTTTAAAAATATGCAACATTTCATTATGTATCGACTTTCAATTTTTTTTTATTCAGCTAATACAAAAACGATGGATACTTCGAAAATTCGAGTGATTTTTGAATACGAGTTCCGACGCGGAACTAACGCTGCAGAAACGGCTCGCAATATCAATGTTGCGCTTGGAGAAGTGACTGCTAATGAACGCACCATGCGATTTTGGTTTAAACGCTTTCGTGATAGAAAATTTGATTTGAAGAACGAACCACGTGGAAGACCACCCACACATGTGAATAACAATGAATTGGACTCATACAGCACGAGAAACCGTTTTAACTCTACGGGAACTGCAATTAGAAACCCTTCGTCACCCTCCGTATTCGCCAGACCTTGCTCACGGACTACCATTTCTTTCGTGATTTGGACAATTTTCTACCTAATAAAAGTTTTCTTCCAAGGAGACAAAATGCTTTCACACAGTTTGTAAAATCTAGATCACCAGGTTCTATCGCAAAGGCGTAAATGACATTCCTATTAGATGGCAGAAATGTATCGATAATACTATATTTTGATTAAATAAATATGTTTAATGAAAAAAAAAACCAATTTCAATTTTTCAGTACATACAAATCGATAATTTCATAGGGGTATATTCAATTATTAAACTTCATTTACTGAATGTTAAAATCCTCTCGTAACTGCTTATCAGCTCTAGTTGGAAAATATGGTTACGTACCAATTCTTTTATAGTATTAAACGAGCACATACAATTTCTGAGCTTCAAATAATTAAATTTATGTTTGATTTAATTTTGTATGAAGCTAATTAATACGTGTGGCGTGTATTTACATAAATACTTTAGTTGAAATATTCGATGCAATTTAAAAAATTAAAATATATATGTATTAGATATCTAATATGATATGATATGGCATGTTGTGTGTTTGTCAACACATTGAACAGTACTCCCCTCCTGGCTGAGCCCGTGCTCGTCCACCTGTTCATAGGAAAATGTCACCGTCAAACACTGTCAATGTCAAAAGTTGTTGTGAATTCGTTTGTCAACGTGGTTCGAAAATTCGAAAAATAATAAATTTATGTAAGTTTATTTCGCCATTCTTAGGAAACTGTTTTACTTATTGATGACTATACTGTTAGTGATTTTCAGTTTACTGATGAATTTTGTTGTTATAAAAAGTTGTTTGCTACATAAAAAGCTATAAAAAACTAAATCTCAAAATTAAATAACCTACATTATTCGCTCTGTAAACATTCGAAGGTAAGATTATTAAATAATTTAAATGATTATAAAAATAAGTATTTCTAAAAAATGTTAAATTTAAGAACCTCCGCAATAAATCAGTACTAGCTTAAAAACTACAAAGTTTAAAGTAAATGACACTTTAATTTATGAGCATAAATATCCACGTGCAATAATAGACAATATGTTTGCCAATAACTTTAATATATAACACGAAAACCAATTCTGCAGGTAACCAATTACTTCAATAAATAGTATTTTATATTAATATTAATTACTAGGTATTAACATGAATGTCACAGTTAGCAAAAAAAAAAATACCTCTTGTAGATTTTCAACCGATTAACTCTAGAACCTATACAAAATATACCATGTCTGTACATCACATATATACACAATGATAAACAAAAAACTTAAAGAGACACAATGAACATTGTGGTGTTGAATTCCACTTTGAAAACATAGGATGTTTAGTGTTTTCAAAAATGTTAGGACATGATTTCAGTACATTTACAGTGAGTTTAACTTATGTCCAACATATTTTAGCTCCGGTAATCAGGTAAAGAATACCATTGTTCATTAATTAATAATATAGAATACTTTATAGAATATAGAATATAATCAAAATAGTGTTAATTATCATCATAATCATAATATACTATAAAGAATAAATTATCTGTAGTCTCGTTGCAGAATTTCAACAGTAAACAAAAACATCACAATTATCTGTTTTATCACTTATAGTCATATTACACAAATTACTGTTGTAACACTAAAGATAAAATACTTAATCAAATGAAATCTTAGTGTCATATTTTGAAAAGAAGTCAAGTTATATTAACTTTCTTTTCAGTTGACCATAAGTCAGACTAAAATGTTGCAAAATTTTGAAATTTGTTAACATTTCAGATTATTATATAGACTGATGTTTTATGTGTCCACTCAGGTAAATTACCGTTTTCCTTACTGCATTCATAAGACATTTGTGTGTGCTATTTCCAACAGTGCAACAACTGATGTAACTAAGAGTCTCTCCTTATGTATCAAGATAGATGGAGGATTTAGATTCCCATTACATGAGGTAGACGGAATAACCATTTGGCCCTTATTTAAAAAAGGAACTTTCAACAATTAGCTAGAATTGCCAAATCAACACAGAAAATACAAATAAGTAATCTAATTAATACATTTTGTTGTATCATTCCAATTGATAATGTCTTCCATTCGTTAAAGAACACAAAAAATGTTCCATAAAAACGTTGCTATCGCTGAAACTAGATATAACAGGTTTTACACAATTATATTACAATTGAAGACTGCTAAAACTGGTTTTATTCAGTTCTCGCTCGCTCTTATAACCTAAAGATTTGATATGATGTGAACTTTTTAACCTCAAGAGATAGGTACTGTCCCAAACCTGTTTAAAACTGGTTACGGCTTGAATTCGGACTGGCTGCACTGATATCGTCCACTAAATATTGGTTTAATATAAAAACATGTTTTCCATTGGAGTGGTACTAAAAAAATTGGATGACTATTTTGTTAACATGCTTAACATTAAATAACATGAATACACATAAACAAACATATATGATATAATTTTAAGCGATCAAGTGTTTTCTAATGTTTGACACAGCATGCATTGTGTAATACATTACAATTATAAATCTGCAAAAATACACATCAACCTGCTCATCTAGAATTTTAAAATGTAATTAATTGAAAATTGGCGGGATGTGAACATGTTTCAAACTAAACTATGTCATCGTTATTTTATTTTATTACAATCACTATATCCATTATCCTACAAGTAATAATAAAGTATATACTTAGTTGCTAATTTTAAAAATTAAAAAATTATGTTCTTCCAACTAGTGTCAAAACCAAAATTTAAACAAAACCACATGATTAAAGCAAAAACTACATTATGTTATTCTTAACTAATTTATAGATGATTTCCTCTATCTGCATGTGTTTTGGGCAAATAACAAAAAAAAAACCTTTAATAATGCAGTCATCTGAGCCTTAATAAAATAATTAATATTCAATAACAATTCTATATTACTAAGATCTCAAGTATCAGCATCATATATTCAATGGCAACTTTCAATGTAAGAAGTCTTTACATTATATATTTTTTGTTCGATTCATGGAGAAAAGAAGGAAAAAAATTATATAAAAAAACACTTTATTAAGCCTAGTTTTTTAAGTAAGGTTAAAGGATAATAGAGCCTATAGTCAATGTGACACCCATCACCCATATTGAGACAGGTTGAATTCTCAATTGCATCGCATAAAGGCTGTCCCTACCGCTCAAACTGTAAGGCATTACAGCTTCACAGGAGAAATAGAATGGTAAAACATACCAGTGCCCCTGCACAGCTCACAATATGCCTTATGACAAATAAGCTATTTTTAATCATAATAAAAGAATTAGACTATCAACATGTTTTTTAAGTTCCTTAATTAATTATAATTTATGTCAAAAATACTTTTATCTTGTACGACTGCGTATACAATGTGACCTAATGAACTCTGTACGTCAACAGTAATCAATGAGGCAAATCAAATGCCTTCGTCTAGTCAGTTCACATCTGACAAGCAAAATGAGAAGTCACACATACATTGATTCCTTGGGCTCTGCCAGGTAAAATATTACAAGAATGTGTACTTAATGTAATGTGGCTTTTGTTTAGGTTTCCAGTAAATAACTAAACAAAAATTATAATGTTTAATTTCTTATTCTTGTTTCTTTACTGTGTGCATATTTGGAGTGTAGCAATTATACTAGCATATTAATAGTATGTTTATTTTATTTTTTTCTTGTCCAACAGCATCATGGCGCGTATCCTCGATGGCAAAGCACTTGCTATGGAGATAAAGAAGGAGCTGAAGCAAAAAATAGCACAGTGGGTGAGTCTTGGAAACCGAGCTCCCACCATTCGTTGTATAATTGTTGGCGATGACCCAGCGAGCCACACCTATGTCAGGAACAAAGTTGAAGCGGCAAAATTTGTGGGAATCGATGCATTAACAATTAACAGGGACAGTGATATAACCGAAGAACAACTACTCTCTGAGATCCAAAATTTAAATGAAGATAATAGTGTTGATGGAATTCTCGTCCAATTACCTGTACCTGATACAATTAATGAGAGGAGAGTTTGCGATGCTATTGCTCCTGAAAAAGATATCGATGGTTTCCACATAATCAACATCGGAAGGCTGTGTGTGGATCTACCTACCATTGTGCCGGCTACAGCATTGGCTGTAGTGGAAATGCTGAAAAGGTAATTTGATTTATTGAATCATTTATAAACTCTAATATCTAAGTAACTATAAAAAATTCAAATCTAGATTTTTTGACATTTTACTAATTTCTTTACTTATTTAAATTTGATTTCTGTTATAATTTCCTTGTTCGTCATCTATGAACCTTAAAAAATTCTAATGACATCTAACTATCACTAATATTTAATTTAAAAAAATATGTGTTTTGTTAAAACGTGTATGTGTGTGTTTGTCTTAGATTTAACATCGACACATTCGGTCGCAACGCGGTCGTGATAGGTCGTTCCAAAAACGTCGGTATGCCTATCGCTATGATGCTGCACAGCGACAAGAGACACGAAAGCGGATTAGGGATGGACGCTACCGTCACCATCTGCCATCGTTACACGCCAAAAGACAAACTAGAGGCATATTGTCGGAACGCTGACATCATTATCACCGCTACCGGTTAGTACACAATCTATTTCATATCAAGTTTCATGATAATTAGCCTTTCATATAAAAAAATCAATATTCGTCAAAATTACCTTGCTCGCTTCGTGTACTTTGAAATTTATTTTCCTTCTTTATATTTAAATAGGTTTGCCCAAATTAATCAAAGCGGATATGGTGAAACCGGGCGCTACGATAATAGACGTTGGCATTACAAGAATAACCGATGAAAATGGAAAGTCTAGACTCGTCGGGGACGTTGATTACGAAGGTCAGTTGATTGTGACTTAATTTCTTAATCGTATTCGAGTTGCGTGTTAGTTGATTCGCTTTTTTTTTACTATCGTAGGTAAAAATCTCTTTTTCAAAACTATAGAGCTGGTAAGGAACCACTTTATTTCCATTAATCAAAGATATAAATCTTCATATATTAAATATGCAAATATTCAAAGGAATGTGATTAGTTTTAAACATATGCTTTCACGCCCGTTGATTATCAGGGCGAACTGTGAAAGAATACTTATTGTGATCAAAAAGTTATCTTAATGAAGGTTAAAGTTATCCGTGTATTGATAGATGAAAAGTATAATGAATAACATCAAAAATCTATAAGAACACTATAGAAAGAGAGCAAAAAAATAGTTTTGGTGTCAACATGTCAACTAAAATGGGGCACAAAAACTTGACCCCCAAGAAGCTTCATAAATAATAGAAGATAAGCTTTGAACGGCATTGACAATATTTGACTTATTTTAATTTATTATTGACTGCATGTTTTATATTAAGAACAATCAATAAGGTCAAGATGAAGTTTAATTTAAAATGTGGTGTCTTAAAACAGCTATTTTTTTTTGTACATAGATGAGTAAACCAACTGGTCTAAAGTGGGTAGAGGAACCGTACCTTAAAGTCTCAATCGTGTTGTATAATAAAGGATATCACACCCTTCAAACCGGAACGCATGACTGCTTCACGCCAGAAATAGGCAGGATGGTTGTACCTCTCTATGTGGGCTTAAAATAATCCCCACCCTCAGTAGAAATGTAGTAATCAAATTATAACGAATAGTTAATTTCAATGGCTTTTGTCTGTTCACATGTTTGTATTTTTGAAGCTAAAAATGTTTGAGGTAGGCAGTAAGAAGTTTTAGGTGATATTAAAAATCAGCCATCTTGCGAGGTTAACGACCTTCTGTGACACGTGGTCCTTGTCGGCTAGCTGTTTTGTTTTAGCTTACGCGTTCACCAAATGTGAACTTGCTACTACTTTAAGTACTAAACTATGAATTTGAATGAACTTGTCAACTGGGTGTGATGAAATATTACGACATACAGTAATAATAATATATGTTTTGGCATAATATTTTGAAGACATTTTTAATTAAATTACATGAAATCGTAATTCTTATGTTATATCGGTTAATATTGTTTTCACATATGTGAATTTTTTTCTATACTGCGTATATTAAAGTAGACTACAGCCTGCACGTTATGAGTCTCCCTGTCTGAGCCAAAAAATAGGTCAATATTTCAGAAATGTCACTTGAAAAGTGACCTACGGATGTTATTTTGGTAAATTTGTTTTTCTCGTCCAAACAGAAGTGTCTAAGATCGCCGGTGCCATAACTCCAGTTCCCGGCGGAGTGGGTCCTATGACTGTGGCGATGCTGATGCATAACACATTCCAAGCAGCTCAGAGTCAAGCAAACAAATCCAATTAATGATGGGGATGTACTTGGAAGATCTGGCTAATTTTATAGTTTGCATTTTGTTTATTTATTTATTAAATTTCTTTATTAGGTATGTATTTAATAGTGACAATTTAATTATTTTTGTTCTGACATTAAGCAATAAGAATTAAATATTTACAATTTTGTTTTACAATATATAGAGACTTTAACACTAATCATACCAACATTTACTGATACCTATTTCTACCATAGTGAGTAGATAACGGTATACCACAAGTACTACTCGAAATAAACGAAACAAAAACAAAAAAATAGTACAATAACTGTAGATTAATTGGTAAGAAAAATTCATGAAGTCAAATGTGCGAAAGCAATAAGATGATACGTGGATTTTCAATGCAATGCAAAAGTTCAAAATTGGGCATTTGACCCGTTATGGTATGTTTAGTGTTGAGGTCAATCAATGTGTTACCAATTAAGAAAAAAATTCACACTACATATTTAGGACGACGATGACAAATTTATAATTTCACAGCCTATTTATTAAAGTCTTCCTTGGTGGTATTGCCGTTGATATTTGAATGTGACATCTGTCAATAATGACGTTTATTATTTAAAGTGATGTGTCCGATTTTAGGCTGTTTTTTTGTTTTTCTTATTATAAAGGCTGATTAAGGCATTTTCATAAAAGACCAATTAATGTGGGAAACTTTTTTTCTTCTTTTAAACATCGTATGCAGTTTAACTGCTGGAGAATTCAAAAGAATTACCTCCATTATATGAGTATTATTAAATAGGATTACTGTTAATTATTTTGATTATTATTTATTAGTATTAGTATTTTGTGACTTTTTGTAAGGTTTATTAATGGTTATTTCTTATTCTACTTAATCTTTTAAAGAAATCTCATAAAAAATCATAAGGTTTTTTAATATCAGTTTCATAAATATCTCTTGCATTTATTAATTAGAAAAAAACTCCAGTAAATTAATTGAAATTTATTTACTTGATTAAACTTATTTATAGTCGAAATGATGTCCATTTGTTTGTCTATTTATAGATATGATATATTGTGTTGCCTGTGTATATCATGTGTGAATTCCCCTATTGTCTTCCTCATATAAAAATTGTATGCATAAATTCGCGGATCATTAGTAAAAATAAATAACATTAAAGATTTCGTTATTAATAAGAAAAAACAATATTTATAAGATTATATAGTGTACTTTAAGAGTACTGTTATATTTTTTAATTAATAAAATTTTAATACTACAATTTGTATGATTCTTTCATGTGTTATTCATATTTTTTTCTCAGGGATGTTTAATTTGTATTGTTAAGATCGACGAACGAGATCACGGCCCACTTGATATTAAGTGGTTACTGACACCCGTAGATATCAACCACGTAAATTCTGCCACCTAACTTCAGACACGAGTTATAACTCTCTAGGTTTATGGCACATATGCTTTTTTTGGATGCTAACGAATGATAAACTTCTTTATTTTATTACATAGCTGAATGGATAAGCTCACGGCCCACCTGGTGTTAATTGGTTACCGGAGCCCATAGACATCTACAAAGTAAATGCCGCCACCCACCCTGAGATATAAGTTCTAAGGTCTCAGTATAGTTACAACGGCTGCCCCACCCTTCAAACCGAAACGCATTACTGCTTCACGGCAGAAATAAGCAGGGTGGTGGTACCTACTTAGCTGGCTAGCTTACGTTATTTATTCAGAGCCGTAATGTACGGTATAGTAGCATGAAAATTGTGGGCTTGTTTGCCTTACTTGGCAAAAATCGACGCACAGATTTCCACACCATCCTTTCCTAGTTAGATTTATATCCCGATGAAATCGGTGCTTGAGTAGCGACCGACAAGAGCTTTTAACGCGACCCGTAGACAACTTCCTCCGTTTCCCCCGACCACCCTACGATGGAACGTCGTCCGGCCAATGACCTCCCGTTCGAAATATATATTTTTAACTAGCTGACCCAGCAGACTTCGTAGTAATCGATAAATAAAAGACCTAAACTTTTGTATAAAATAAACTTAAAAACAAAATTGTTATTTTTTTTAATTCCAAGCAATTTCATATTTATCTACCTTTCAAACCTTCTCTGGACTTCCACAAATAATCCAAGACCAAAATTCGCCAAATCGGTTCAGCCGTTCTCGAGTTTTCGAGACTAACGAACAGCAATTCATTCATGACTACTTGTTGGATACCAGTTTATACAGTCGTCGAACTCTTGAATCTTTTCATGTGAATTGGGCACTGCTGCCATGGACATTACTACGTGAGTTCTCCTCATGAGTTCTAATGACGTCTTATGGGTCCGCACGGGTAGTTACCACCACCCTGCCCATTTCTGCCGTGAAGCAGTAATGCGTTTCGGTTTGAAAGGTGGGGCAACTTGAGACCTTAGAACTCATGTCTCAAGATGGGTGGCAGCATTTACGTTGTAGAAGTCTATGGAATTCGGTAACCACTTAATGCCAGGTGGGCCGTAAGATCGTCCACCCGCCAAGGTAAAAAAAGTATTAAAATAGAATTTGCTTTTTTTTATTGCCCCTGTAGGCAGACGAGCATGCAGCCCACCTGATGGTGAGTGGTTACCGTCGCCCATGGACTTCAGCAATGCCAGGGACAGGGCCAAGCTGCTTACTACTATCGAACGCACTAATAAAGATTGTAACAAAAAAACTAAAAAGACCCTGTTTAATTCGAACCGTCTAAAAAGTTCAAAAGCAGGATCAAAGTTAATCCTGAAATTAGATTAGACTCTCTAGGACATTATCCTTTAAAAATGGAGCATAAAAATCCCACACGATGTCATGAAAAATGTAAAGAGCCCGCATGGCCTGCGCGTATGAAATATTTTCATTCACAGGTGAACTACGCTACATGGCCACATATATGGACAATTTTTTATTATAAATATTCACTTTTTTTGACTTATTGATATGTTTTCAATATAAAATGAACGAATCTTCTATAAATAATAAATTAAATTCATGTTTTTTGTTCTTTACGCCAAGAGTTTCGTCCCTGAAGAGGTTAAGGCTATAACGGATTTAACCGAAGAAATAAACATCACATCAACCGAAGTACAGGAGAAACATTTTAACGAGTTACCTCAGAGATGTGAAACCACATTTCCTCGTATCAAATTTAACACGTTTAAGATATTTCGTGTATAGACCGACGATAATACAATATTTCGATTTAGCTTGGAAATAAATTGCGCGTGGGTGAGTCCATTACGTAAACATTAAATGAGAATAATGTTACAATATAACATAATAGGGGAATAAGATAACAGGGTGCAGAAAGTCAGACAGACACACTGAGAAAGGAAGAGGAAATAGATAAATACACAAGGCCGTTCCTATTTCGAAAACTGGTCTCTTGAAACCCTTGGAACCTCCGAGTTTAGGGATACCAACCGACCGATCACACATATTATTTAACGCGTTTTTTACACAAGATTTTCGACAATAGATACTCATGATCGGGGCAAGTCGTCGAGCTCCAGTGGCAACACCAAAAAACGAACTAGATAGAGGCCTGACAGATATTTCCGCTCCCAACTCCCAACATTCTAAAGCTAGACATCGTAGAGCTAGGAACTGTCCAACGGCCAGGGCAATTGCGCTGTTAAACGAATTTCTGTCCGAAATCCAGACGTATTTGCCGATACTTGGGGAATACTTTATTTCAAAATAATTTTATTTTTAGCATAATATTATAATAGTACTTAATAATTTCAATAATGTTTTTGTGTTAACGAGTCAGGCGTTTTGGTGAAGACTGTAAGCCTGACTTTCTATTGAATGGAATAAATAAATAAAAATAAAATGTGGCCTTCGCAAAACCAATCCATTCCACTCGGGACTCCTGTATTTTATTCTGTACGGGCTCTCCCATACTTTAAACCCTAACTCACGACTGCTTCACAAGCAAACGAACTAGGCACAGCGGCGCAAACCCCACGCGGGCTATGACCTAACATACCATACCACTAAAATCAATCAATAATGAGCACTTTTCTCCAAGCACCGGTCACCGTTCTCGTTGAACTCGCCGAGAGTTCAACTTGCAACCTTATCCATAGACACAGCCCACGTGAGCTACTCGCCGGATCTTCTCAGCGGGTCGCCATTCCAATCCAGCGGTAGGTTTTGCGAAACACTGCTCTAGCTAGGGCTAGTGTTAGCAAATTCTCTCAAGTTGAGCCCGTGAGCTCACGTACCCGTTCGAATGTAACTGAAATAACCCCATAGGCTACCAGAGAATAAGTAGGAAAAAAAGATGTGTGGTGGACACTGGATAGGAACGAAATTCCTTATTATAAAAATATTAATTTTAAGTTCTATTCGAGGTATAAAGAAAATAAAACTGGAGGTTTCGCAACAACCCACGGTCATTCGGTAACGTGCGAACTTATTGTGGTACACTTCATTCACGGTTGTTTGCATAAGAGTTAGTGTATTGCGCAAACGAACGCTCTGAGATCGTGGTCAATGAATGTTTTTTTTTGTGCGTTATTACATAGTTTAAGTCGTACACCGTGTGCATTACTAATAAAAATCTTACGTTACGGACGTTTTTTCCCGGTTGGGATACCCCTCCGCGTCGTCCCATAGGGAACTTCGTTCAAAAAGCATTTGCCAATAGTAATGGTGTTTCCCTTCTAAGACTTAAAGTAATAAAGATGCATTTGCCTGCGTCAACAAAATAAACATATTTTTTCAAGTAAACAAACTTGTCTGTTATTTTAATATCCTGTTTGTTAATTAAGCATGCAAAGCCGTGTCTTAATTAAAACGTTCACCGCAAAAAATGAAAGATTGGGAATATTAGATTTTAATTTGCTTTTCCTTGTGTAAGACTTTCTATTCACGATGAAAACCAATTTGCGCATGGCAACCTTTTTTAATATCCTTTTCCAATTTTAAATATTTTTCCTGTTATATAACCTGATAACTTTTTTAGAATTGGTGCAAAAAATAATGATTTGAAATGATGCGTATTTACAATCTGAACTAAATTCTAACTATAATTACTGTTTGTTTTATTGATTTCTAGTAGCGCCATTTACTATTTCGCTATAATTTATAAATTGAAAATGAAATTTGAAAAAAATAATGAAATC